TAAAAAAAATTTTTTTTTCAACGTTTATTTATTTTTGGGACAGAGAGAGACAGCATGAACGGGCGAGGGGCAGAGAGAGAGAGGGAGACACAGAATCGGAAACAGGCTCCAGGCTCTGAGCCATCAGCCCAGAGCCCGACGCGGGGCTCGAACTCACGGACCGCGAGATCGTGACCTGGCTGAAGTCGGACGCTTAACCGACTGCGCCACCCAGGCGCCCCACCACTCATTCATTTCTTGGAAAAAAATTATTTTTCCATTTTTCTGGTAGCTAATTCATTATACCAACTGGTAAATAAGGAAGATATCAAATGAGTACTTGTATATATTTTATCTGGAGTTTAGGGGAGAGAGTCATGAGTAGGGATTTGGAAGTAACTGCACAGGGATTATATTTAAAAGTTCAGGTACCTATGATGTCACCAGACCACACTGGCTACCATGCAGCTATCTCCTCACGTAATTCCATTATTTGGTCTTCATTCAGTTGCAGAGGCAACTGTGACCCAACCAAGTCAACAACACCCTGCTTTCCAGAGTAATATTTTTACCTGAGTATACTCGTGCCTACTATCTTATCCTAATGGATTCAGTGCTCCCATACGTCCTAATACTGATACCCTTTATAGCCCCTTCCCAAAGTGTGAAGGATGGTAAGGGAGGCCAGCCAAAGCCAAGGATGCCATTCTGGAATCACTAGCTGTTCAGTGGAGTCCACTAGCGATACTGAAGAGTGACCAAAAAGAGAAAGGCAAGAGAAAATGAAGAACATGGTTATCAGGGAAATCTGGAGAAGAGAGTTTTAGGGAAGAGGAAGGGGTCAAGATTGTGAATGTCTCAAGGAGACAGAATCAGAAGGACTGTTTTTACACCTGTAGCTTCCCTTGAAGGGAGAGATTGTTTCCTCAAATACCCTCTAGCACCAAGCGTGTGGTCAGTGGTCAGAAGGAAATTCAGAAATGCTGGGGATGATTTAGAAGAGAGGAGGAAGCGCTTTTTCTGGAAGATTGATGTCAGGAAAGGATGGCAGCTTACGTTGTGATAGACTTTGAGTGATGAAAAGACTTTCCCAGTAGGATTTGAACGCATCTTCTTGTTTTCTAGAATTTGCAAGAAGTCACCGAACTAAACAGTGGGATTGATTGCTAAATGGATCTTCCACTTACGTTCCAAATAGTACGTAGAGGTGGAAAATTAAATGTGTAGCAAGGAAGTTTTTATACAGCTGACTCTTTCAACAGATGGAGGTGACGTGCTATAAATTAGTATTGTTCCTCTATTCAGATCTATTGCTTTTTACTGTATTCAGTGATGCTTAGGCAGGTTTGCTGATAATTAAGAGAATTGCTAATAATTGTCAGCGTATGTTTGCTTTTCCATCAACACCAAGGAGTAGGCTTTACGTGTTACAGATCTGTCATAATATTACACACATAGTTGAAATTTTTATTTTTGACTAATTTAACAAATGTAAAACATATATATATTTCTACATATGCTAGTCTGTGTCCAAAGTTCATATTGCACTGAAAGGGGTTTGATGCTATAAACAAGGATGGGGAGAAAGGGAGGGAGATGGGGCTGGGAGGCAATGAGAATAGGAAAGAAGGTCCTGAGGACAGAAAAAATCTGTTATTTAACTTAGTTGTCTGTCTTCAACTCCTTGGTTTTGACAGGTCATTAAACTGTGGGCACTCTCTCTCCCTATGTGCCCATCTCTATTTTGAAATCGACAGGAAACATTGCATTGTTTTATAAGACGTAATGGGAGTCTTGGCATTTCTTTTAAACTGCAAAGAAATTTTTATGAAATATAAGATTTTTTAAAACTCATTAAAAAACCTAGGAAGCATGTGAGATGGTTCCGAAGAGGAGGTCTGTAGTAGAGGCAGCCAAGCCTGGGCATTTCCAAGTCAGTTCTATTTATTGTCTTTTAGGGCTGCCTTTCAGTTTCCTCCTACAATGGATAGAACTTCACATCTCCTAAAAAAAGACAGTTCTGCAACAAACTATTTTCTAAGGGAAATGAAATGTGACAAGAATGTCTTTTTTATCACCGTGGCATTAGTGTGTTGGCCTTTTAGAGACCAAAAGCTCTGGGAATGGTAGATTTATTTGGATTTCTGTGAGCTTGTGACAAATGTTGAAAGCATCTGATTTTTATAAGAATCTACTTAGAATTGTGCTTGATGCTAGTATATTCTTTGTTTGAAAGATAGTTCATTGAAATAAACAACCTGCCCCACCCCCAGTTGCAAAATAGCTCATAAATTCCAGCTTTGGTTGCCTAAAGATTTTTTTCTATGGAGATGGGCTGGAGGTTACTTTGCATTTTGGCTCAGTTGGCTGGTTTCCCTCCCATCTTAGGAGGAGCACTTCTTAAACCTCAGCTGTGGCCACATGGGCATACCCGGCGCCTCTGGAAGCAAGTTAGCACGTTATTCCACTTGAAGGCTTACAGTTGGAGAGGAGCATGCGGCGTTTTGAATTGTAAAGGAAATCCTAGCAGTCTGAGGGCAGAAGTATCTCGAAAGCTCAAAAGCCAGGTTTAATTAGGTGGCCGTGCAAAACCATTATTCCCCGTCACAAAAGCCGAGGAAGAGGAGCCAGAGTGAAAACAATTGGCGCTTATCGGGCCGGCGGCCCGGCCCAGCCCCCGAGCCCAGCTGGAGCTCAGCCGGCCCTGCATTCTGCAGGCAGCGTGCAGTTTTTGAAACTCCCCTCAATGTTCCAGCCTTTAAATAGCAGCGAGTCTTCTCAAACGATGTTGCGTACTGCAAGAGAAATTAAAGCGGCTGCCTCGGAGGCAGGAGGCCGACTAGCGAGCTGCTTAATTATCGTGGAAGTAAGTGCTTGTTACCGATGAGCGGAGTGCAGCGAGCGCGGGTCGTCCCCGGGGCGTCTGCCGTGATTTGTAGACAATGCAGCCCTGTCAGCGCAGTGCTGGTTCAGCAGCATCCTTCCAAACATGTATTTGGCAAGAATTTAAAGGCCACCTCTTGTGTAATCCGTGGAGCCCTGGAAAAGGGTCCTCTGCCTTTATTTTCAGGATGTACGCAACCACGCGGGGTTTTGCACTCAGCATGCGTGCCTCTTGCCTCCCGACTGACGGGCTCACAAGGAAGTTGGTGTTCTTCACCCATCACCTGCACGGATGCTAACACTTCTCTGTCGTCTGTCGGGGAATATGGACAGGTCTGTCCAGAGCAGCATTTTGTTTCTGCTGTCTTCGTAAATCAGCACCGGAGGGGCGGGTGGGGGGCGGGGGGAGAATGCAGCGCGTAAGGAAATGCAGGCATTTGGTTAATTAGTGGAATTATTTCTAGCTTCCAGAGTAGACTAAGGAGAGCTTGAGAAGGGGTGGTGGTGAATGCGGGATCCATCCCGAGATACTCCTTGTGGGGGTAAGTAATAAAGTGAGGGAAATACAGAGGAGTGCTAATGGGTATAATGGCTCCGGGAAAACCCTGCTTATTTTTCTCTCTATTGTATTTGCTCTTGCCAACTGTCTTAAGCATTTGTAAAGAACCAAACCAAACCAAACCAAACAAAACAAAAAAAACAAGTAAGGATTTTGACATACAGAAGGTGTTAAAAAGTGAGTATTGCAACATACTCGATAACGTAATTTTTTGTCTTGTTTAAAAATTGTACACTGCTTAATTATCGAACTCTGTTGGTTATGTCTCGAACTTCTGGTCAGCACAGTGGTGGGTTCATGATGCTCTACGTTATTGGAGGTCGTTGGAGCCTGTGCTTGGTCTGTACTTGGGGTAGGAGCCTTGATGTCCTAGAACAAGATCTCCACGCCCCTCCTCTTACAGGAAACAGTTCAGTGAAGCTCAAGTATGAATAGTCTTTTAAAATATATATCATTTAAAATGATGGATGGTCTTGAATGCTTTCACTTTTCTTCCTTTCAAACCTGCTTTACTAAAAATATGGGCTGTGAACTGCAAACCACAATCCATTATTGAGTCTTTCATTTTCTTTCATGTGTCTGCTTTTAGCAGTTGCATATTTATTTTTAGATGTATTTATCAAATGCTAATCCTAATTGTCCTTCTCTTTTAGGGAAAGCATGGGATTATGGCAATCACAGAGTCCTCGTAATACAAGTTCCATTCATTTTTTTCTGAAAGACAGCTGTCTGTTAAAGTGAAGCAAAGGAACTATTGTGGATTATAATGTTTTGAAGATCTGGATTGTCAGAAGTTTGGAAATAAGGCATCATTTAACCTTTTAAATGAAAAAGATTAAGATCTCATGCAACTGCTATATTTTCTGGAAACCATTCTCCAAAAGGGAAGTGCACATTTAAAACTTAGATATGATGGTCCTTTGTACAGGGATTTGAATCTGATTGCTTTTACATCATGACCAGCTTGAAACGGTCACAGACGGAGAGGCCTGCTGCCCCCGAAAGGGCCTCGGTTGTCGCCACAGATGGCGCCCCCAAAGTCCACACTGACGACTTCTACATGCGACGCTTCAGGTCCCAGAATGGCAGTTTAGGGTCCTCGGTCATGGCTCCGGTAGGGCCCCCCCGAAGCGAAGGGTCTCATCATATAACCTCGACCCCCGGAGTCCCCAAGATGGGGGTTAGGGCTAGGATTGCGGATTGGCCCCCGAGAAAGGAAAACGTCAAAGAATCTAGCCGTTCAAGCCAGGAAATAGAAACCTCAAGTTGCCTTGAGAGCCTGTCCTCCAAAAGCAGTCCTGTGAGTCAGGGAAGTTCTGTTAGCCTCAATTCCAGTGACTCAGCCATGTTAAAAAGCATACAGAACACACTGAAAAACAAGACAAGGCCGGCGGAGAACATGGACTCCAGATTTCTCATGCCTGAAGCCTACCCCAGCTCCCCTAGGAAGGCTCTCCGCAGGATCCGTCAGCGGAGCAACAGCGATATCACCATAAGTGAACTTGACGTGGATAGCTTCGATGAATGTATCTCGCCCACATACAAGACTGGGCCATCACTGCACAGGGAATATGGTAGCACCTCTTCAATTGATAAGCAGGGAACGTCCGGGGAAAGCTTCTTTGACTTGCTAAAGGGCTACAAAGACGACAAGTCTGATCGAGGTCCAACTCCAACCAAGCTCAGTGACTTCCTCATCGCCAGTGGGGGCAAGGGCTCCGGTTTCTCCCTGGATGTCATAGACGGGCCCATCTCCCAGAGGGAGAACCTCCGGCTCTTTAAGGAAAGGGAAAAACCACTCAAGCGCCGTTCCAAGTCTGAAACTGGAGACTCGTCCATTTTTCGTAAGTTACGCAATGCCAAAGGTGAGGAACTTGGGAAATCGTCAGATCTTGAAGACAACCGGTCAGAAGACTCTGTCAGGCCCTGGACATGCCCGAAGTGCTTTGCCCACTACGATGTCCAGAGTATACTATTTGACTTGAATGAGGCCATTATGAACAGGCACAACGTTATTAAGAGGAGAAACACCACCACGGGGGCATCGGCCGCTGCCGTGGCATCCCTGGTCTCCGGACCTCTGTCCCACTCGGCCAGTTTTAGCTCCCCGATGGGCAGCACGGAGGACCTGAATTCCAAGGGGAGCCTCAGCATGGACCAGGGAGACGATAAGAGCAATGAACTTGTACTGAGCTGTCCGTATTTTCGGAATGAGATAGGTGGAGAAGGCGAAAGGAAAATCAGCCTGTCAAAATCAAATTCTGGTTCCTTTAGTGGGTGTGAAAGTGCCTCCTTTGAGTCTACGCTTAGTTCCCATTGCACAAATGCAGGAGTGGCGGTACTTGAAGTGCCCAAGGACAACCTTGTGTTGCATCTGGACAGGGTGAAGAGATACATCGTGGAGCATGTGGACCTGGGCGCGTACTATTACAGGAAATTCTTCTATCAGAAGGGTGAGTAGAGCTCCTTTGCCATGATGTATGAAGTAGTTAGATTTGCTACAATTCATACGTTTTTGCATTTCTGAGTTACTGCCTCTTTTCAGGCATAAAAGTGTATATTAAATATTAATGGTTTTTTTAATTTAGTGGATGCAATTATAGCCTTTGTAGAAAAGACTTGCTTTGTTACCTTGAGAGATGAATGTCATAAAGTTGAAAATATTTTAAATACAGTTTTGTTTTTTTTTAACTACAAAAACCATCTTAGTGCTGCCTTTTCTTAGCAGTCTTATGCTTAGTACAGAACCATTTCTTTTTCTGCCTCAGTGTTCTCGTCAGGAAATGGGACTTATACATTCCTTTAACTTTGATAGGAATTTTAGTGAACATTGATTGTGTTATTTGGCAAAAGTCACAGAGCCAATAAGTTTCCCGCAGGAATCAAATCTAGGTCTTAACAGATTTGAGTAGAAAAGAGTCTGGAGAGATAAGGACCCTTAAAACATTGGTGACTTCCTTTGTAGTCTTTCTAGTGTTGGGGGGGGGGTACATATTGCATACATTGTTGGATTGTAAGGCCCTGTGATTCATGGAACAGTAAGTAGTTTCAGTGAAGTCTTGGGAGCTGTCATTGTTTTTCAGCCACGTTATTAATTGAAGAGTGAGTTTAAGTCCTACGAGTGCCCAAGCTGAGAAACCAGCTGCTCACCAAGGGAGGACCTACACCAGTGGTCCATTAGCTAGGTCAGTAATCTCGGCAGCCCTGGTGAGTGGCCTCCCTGTATGCAGAGTACCGGAGCAGCGCTCTGACTTTCCACTTCCTGCTTTGGGGTTTTTGAATCTTACTTAGATTCATTCTTCCGAATGAAGTTCCGCTTCTAGTACTCGTCGTAACTGTGTTACATTGCTCACGTTAGAATCAAACTTCCCATGAGGTATTACATGATAGACCCTATTCAAGAGAGTTTATTGGCCAAAAGAGTCGTGTCTTGTTGCTAAGTATCCGTGTCCTCTAAGTATCTGTGTCATTGATATTTGACACTATGCTAATGAAGATCCCGTTTTCATTTTTAAGCAATCTGTGTTTTCTCAGAATAATTTTATGGAGTTCAGATTTTAGAAATCACTTCTTCATTCTATACTGTCCGTTAGGGTACAAGGTTTTTCAGTGTTGCCATCTTAGCATTTGGGGCTGGATAATTCTTTGAGGGGGCTGGCCATCCTGCGGGCATTGTAGGATGTAGGAGGGGTCAGCAGCAGCCCTGGTCTCTGTACCCTAAATGCCAGTAGGTACCCCTCCCCCAGTTGTGATGACCTAAAATGTCTCCAGGCATTGCCAACTATCTCTTGGGAGGTAAAATTGTATCTAGCTGTGAGCCCCTGCTTTATTGTACCTGGTGACATTTCCCACAGGTGTTTCTTAGTTGTCTGTTGGTGGAGGCCATCTTGCCAAAAATGGATGCATCGAGTCCAACATAAGAGAGAACATATCAGTTATAATTTTACTTATGTAGTAGTAGGCACTTTTTCTTATTAGGCAGTATAATAATAGTAATAAACATTTTTGAGCACTTACTATGTACCAGAAACTTTTAGTACGCATTTGATGTGACCTGCGTTTTCTCATTTCAATGTCTAAATGCCCGCCGAGGTAGGTACTGTTAAGGATGGCATTTTCCAGACGAAAAAACTGGGGCTGAAGTGGTTAAATGAACCTAAATGGTTCAGCTGATGTGAGCTAGTGATGTGGGAGCCAGGATTCCACTTACGGTGCATCTCACCAGCGTAATGTCCTTAACCATCATGTTCTTCTCTCTACTGTACTAGACTGTAGGGAAGGAGTATGTTTTTCCATTTAAATCTGGTAGAAATTTGTATGGGATAAAAATTTGGGCATCTGTATTCCAGAGGAATCCAGATCATAACACTTCATAAATTTAAAAGCCACTAATCCAAAGTCATTTCTGATTTGAAGCATGGAAAATACCCTCTTACCCAGCAACATTGGGACTTGTTAATTGAAAATACCAGTTAAAAGTAGGGAACCTTTAAAATGTTATACATGCTTAGAATGTTTTATTTTCACTCCACTGTAAAAATGTACTCGGCAAACTCTTGTGAGGCCAAGGGCTTTTCTTTGACAGTGATTCCACTATTTTGAATTTTACGTTGCCTTAAAAGTATCAACCACAAGGGCTACAACAGACCTTAGCAAAGCAATCCAATCTTGCAGAATCTTAGGTTTCATTTTTTTCCTCCTTTTTTATAGTTGTCTTGCCCACATCTAATCCAATAGCTTTCTTTTTAGTGACTTGCTGTTATTACGTCTTTCCAGAGCCTTCAGTTTAGTTTTTAATAGAAACAAGATTTATCTTTATTAGTACTCTTATTCCATCAGTTTCCATAATATTTAATTAAATTTCATCATTACAGTAACAAGTCAACTGGCATAAACAGGTTTGGGAGGGCACAGCCGACTCTTCGTCAGCATGAAGTCCAGCCGGTGGGAACAGAGTGTGCGTGGCCCTGGAGAGGGCCTGCCCGAGGCCTGGGGCATTCGTCATTGTGGTGCGGGCAGGGAACTCAGCAGGAGTTAATCCAGGAAGTCAGTCCAATGGGAGGCCGTTTTGGAGTGCCCGCTGTGTTTTCTTGGGCCACACAACTTAGAATTTTCAAATCGGGCAGGTCGTTTGTCACAGTACGGTGATATCTGACAAATTATGGCTCTCAGTAACCTCATTTGACGCTGCAGTTAAGCCCCGAAAGTGTAACTGTGTGTCAAAAAAGTTAGGTGATCGCTATACTTAGTCACCCTATAGATTATAGTTAGACAAATAATTCTCTTATAAGTTTTACTACACAGCTCGGTGCGGTGGGATCAGCGCAGTCATCGTTTTTTCCTAATTTCCTAATCGGAAACTGGAAGCGAGTTGTCTGGTTGAAGGAGTGTATCTGCGTCAGATGTAGGTTATCTTCTAGCAGCGGAGTGTGGCGGTACTGACCTGGCTGTCACTCCAGCCTCTTCATCACCAGATATTTTCCGTTCTGCTGTTTAATGCATTCCTGACTTCACTGTGGCTAAGTCTTGGCGGGGGGGCGGGGATTCACTTCAGTGAAGGATACTCGGCCGTTGACGTTCCATGTAAATTTTAATTCTATTTGGCTCATGAAACTGCAGTCATTTTTTCTGATGTCACACTGTTTTTAAAAATGTCATTATTTTGCAAATTTAGACTTGAGAGGATATTTGGCTCCACCAATGTAAGCCATTTCCAGTGCTGGAAGGAGGCTGGACCGATGGAGGAAGGAAGCCCACCGTTTGCACTTACTCAAATAAGCACGGCGCCATCAAGGTGCTGCCCCCCCCCTTCTCTTGCCCCCTCCTCTCTGCTGGTTTGCTAGTGCATGTGGGACTCACCGAAGGTTAAATGACACTAATAGCATCGTTAACATTTATTGTGTTACTAATTGTGCTTTATGCGGACTCGGACTTGGTCATTTAATGCTCTTAGGACCCTGAGGTGAACGTGTCGTTGTGCTAAGTCCAAGTGACACAACCAGGCCTTCCTGGAGAAACACAAAGGAGGCAGTAGGATAGCATTAAAATTAGTCGGGTCACCTCCCTTCTGAGTCCGCGTAGGTATTTTGTGTTTAGTTTTTATGTAGCTACTATGATCAAAATACCAAGGGAGTTTGTAAGTGGAAGATACTGTTAAAGTAGTTACCCTCGTGGCTTGTTGAAGAGGAGACTTTTCCTAGCCATCACTCACTTCACTTTTCTGTGGTCATACGGGACTTTTCCAATCTTGCACTGAGTGTCTAATTGTCCACAAGGCCCGTCCTTCCTGAATCTCAGTCAGGGTGATGCATATATGGAAAAGAGTGGCCTACAGGCTGCCTTGGCAGTGGTGTTTCTCACTCCATTGGTCAACAGTGTTGATTGGCTTGTCTCTGTGCCAGGTGGGGTGTCCCTCTCAAAGTCCAGTGACTGGAGATGTGTGGTGGAGAAGGGCCTCTCCCTACTGCCCAGTGCCCAGGAGAAACTGCCATTGTCAGACCTGAAGCTCACCTAAGAATAGTTTCCCACTCCCGATGCTTGTGTACCTAATTATTCTTCTGATAATGTTAAGCCATCATATTTGATGGTTTTTATCGTTTCCTTTCCTTGCCCTCCACCTCCACCTTTCCTCACCCCACCACACACACACCTGTTTGCACACATGCACACACATGCATGAGCACACACACACAAATCAGTTCCAGCAGAATGCTGGGCCCCAGACCTATCAGTTGGTCGTTGGAGTTCAGTTGTTACTGTAATACCCAGTTTTCTTTATAAGAGAGTGAGAGGAAAATCATCAACCATTTGTTAGACCAGCATCAAGTAGCAGTTCTGGTGGATTATGGTGTGGATTATACGTATAGATCATCATGGACCACCATACAGCAAAGCTTATTAGAAAAATCTGTGCTTAGTTTGTTTTTTTAATCCTTCTATAAGTTGTGCAACATTAAACTTGACACAAGTTGGGATATCTTATAATTCAGATTTCTTTAAGGATAGTTATGCTGTTTAGTGTTTTGATGTGGATAGTTTTATTCTTCAGGGAAGTGATAAGCCCGAGTCAACAAGTCTGCTTTACTGAACCATGTTGTGCTCTGTGTTCTTGAACTTCACAGTCAATCTGGGCCAACATTAATGAGGAAAGATTTTATCCATGTATAATAATTCATTGTTTTAATATCCTTGTGTTTTGTCTTGACTGAGATCACGTAAACTCTTATATGATTGGTCTAAAGTTAGATCTCTAATTAGGTGACCCTTTCAGGGAGATTTGGGGCACTAAATTTTTTCTTGAGCTAACGCAGGAGAGTCATTTGCTGCCATCTTTTTATCTGCTCAGGACTTCCAGAAGCCAGGAGGCCATTAGGTATGAAGGTTTGTATGTTTGCTCCTTTGAAAACAGTCCTCCTCGCCTTTCTTGGCTGTGATCTCCTGAGTTTTAACACAG